ATTTTTTTTTTTTTTTTTTTTTTTTAAGAGAGGGAACCAACAGAAAGCTCAGAACCCAAAGTAAACAACAAAATCAACAATGTAGTATTCGATTATAACCCAAAGGGTACATTACACATCCATCATAAGTTCCAAATTGTACGTGAAGACACTCCTCCCTCCAGGAAGTGGAGCTAAATTCACCTCTCTCTGACTGCAGGACAGACTTCGTGACTCACTTTCACAACACAGATGAGGAAATAGTAACTTATCACCAGAGAAAGTTCATGCTAGGACTGCACTGCGGAACATCCCCCAAGGCCCAGCGTCGGGACACTGGCCCCAAGTCGGCCGTACTGGGACACAGTGGACTTTCAGGAGGGGACTGGTGGGGGGCCTCGGGCTGGAGGTGAGCAGCTCCCTGCGCCACGTAGCCCCGCCATCGTGCCGAGCCACAGGACCATGGACTGTACCTTCAAGACTCAGTCTGTCTCTTTTTCCTCACTGCATTTATTGGCACTTTTTAGGTGTACAGCACAGTTACATTCATCACTGGGACCTTGCACCTTACATGACAGATCCTGGTTCGCATTTTTTCTCCTTCACCCCTCCCCTATTTACAAAGACTTTGTTTCCTTTTCTCCTATTTTTTCTCTTCCCTTATTTCCTTTCCCCTGCCCTTCCCACTTACAGCTGTGTCTAGACGTCCCCCAAAGCGTCCTGCGGTCACAGGTGGGGCTTTTCAGAGGTGGCTGGATCTAGAGTGCGTGAAGCTGGAATTGATTCATGGTGCAAGGCTAGGATCGAGGGCACTAGGATTAAGGCCTGGTCATCTGTTTGTTTTGCTACCTCCTCTGCAGCTCTGCGATGGCCCCCTGGAGCCTCAGAGTCAGCCAGTTATAGACTGCAGCCTCTACAAATGTGAGCCAAATAAACCTCGCCTCCTTCAACTTTGAGTGTCATGTATTTTGTCTCAGCAATGTGAAAACTAACTAAGACAGCAGCCTCAGTTATTTTGTTACAGTCACGGACAGTGGCTAAGGCAGCGCCGGATGTTAATCGCCTGGACAGCGTGGACATCTGCAGGGCCTCACGGTGCTCTTCCCTCAATCACCGGACCCCGTGCAAGCACCAGAGCTCCACACTACACCGCCGAGGGCCCACTGTGCCTCAGAACTGCAAAGTCACGAAAATCAGATCGAGAAACTGTCAGGCTGGAGGAGAGGAAGAGGACGTGACATGGAGACAGCACTGCTCCCCACACGGAGTCCTGAGCAGGATAGGGCGAGGCAGGAAAGACCGAGAGATCTGATCAAAAGTTTACGGCTCAGTTTAAAAGAAAAGGTCAGCAGACTCCTTCACTTCGTCGTGGAGGCCGAGCCGCTAGTTTCAGAATGGGCTTCTTTTCTTCCTGGGAACTGAGGTGGAGTTTACATAACATAAAATTAAGCATTTTAACAACAACAACAAAAAATTCTGTACCATTAAGTAGACTCACAGAGGTGTGACCCCCACACACCAAGATCTAGTTCCCCATCCCGAACCTCAGCATCCCGATGAAAGCAAAGCCATGTCCACTCCCAGGCTCCCGTGGCCACCGAGTGCCGTGGTCCCTGTGATCTCCCTGTCCTGGACCTGTGCGAACTGTGCTCACTTTTGTCCGTCCTCTTGCACTTGGCATGTGCCGCTGCAGCCCACCCACGGGCAGCGTGCCAGGTGCTGCTCCCTGAGGGATGGGGAGCACGGGGCCAGCCTGACCCACTGCCCCTGCTGGTGAACATCCAGGCTTCCTGCCTGCTGGATGCTGAAAATAATGTTGCTGTGAATGTGAGTACATATCTATTTGGAGACCTATTTCCAATACTTCGGGGTATTTACCTCGGAGTGGAAATGCTGATTATATGATAATTACTTATTTATTTTTTATGGGCCAAAATTTTATCCACATTGGCTGAATCACTTAATTCCCACCAGCAATGGATGAAAGTTCTAATTTCAACACACCCTTGCCAACAGGTTCAGTGGGTGTGAAATGGTATCTCAGTAGGGTTGCTTTGTTTTGTTTTTTGAAACAGTCTCGCCATGCAATGCAGGCTGGCCTTGAGCTCACTATGTAGTCCAGGCTGGGCTTGCACTTGCAGCGATTCTCCTGCCTCAGCCTCCCGAGTGCTGAAATTACAGGCGTGTGCCACCACTCCTGGCCCCTCAATAGAGTTTTTTTTTTTTTAATTTAATTTATTGGTACGTTCTAGGTAAACAGTACAGTTACTTTCATTACTGGGATCTTGTACCTTTACATGCCAGGTCTTGGTTCTCATTTTTTCCCCTTGTCCCCACCCTCCCTTCACCCTCCCCTCTC